TAAACCCAACAGATGACAGACCTTTCTGTTGCATTTTCGTTCTGTGCCCAGGGTATCCTTCAATTTAGTTCTTGCCTTTCAGATTGGGAAGCTGATACATTGACTGCCCATGTACTGTCAGTTAGCCATCTACTGCTTGACCTCGCTTAAGGTTCTTTGGCGCAAAGACAGACACTGTAGGCAGCACCAAAATAGAGAGTGCAGAGGACATTTTGTGCCCCCTGTCTTGCATAATTAGGTATTCTGCTCTGTAAATCTAGAAATGCTGTTAGGAAATAAGAAGGCTGGCTTTTAGCTGAACTTGGACATAGGATACAATTAACATAAAATTATGAAGTGAAACTTTTTATTATAGAAACTCAATTTTACACTACAAGACAAAAACCAAGGGAGAAACAACTTAGTTTACAGTATTTATCTCTACATACCTTTACACTGAATAAAGTGCAGTCATCCTGATAAGTAAAATGCCATTTATTTCCTAGTTGCAGTAAACAAACACATAGGTATTTAACTTCCTGAAGGCCAACTCAGTTATCTGATAAATTCTTTATGAAGACTTGAGCCTTATAAGACAGCATCTGACTGATGAGAAAACCAGTCATGTGCATTTAGAAGATAGGACTACTTTGTTTCCCTTTTCTAACTATACCCTGTTTGATTATTACCAAAGCATTTGGTAATCATATTAGTGTTACTGCAGGCCTCAATTATAGCTATTCTCCATGCTTCTGTTTTCCTACTATTTTTGTTTTCCAGATAGAAACATGGTGACCCTTTTAAGAAAACGTCGCCTACTAAGACAAGCAAGAAACTTAGCTAAGAAACAACAGAAAACTACCTCAGCATCTTCTAACCTACAAGTAAGATTACCCCAGGTTACCATAATTTGACAACAACAATTACAAGCACTTCAGTAAGAATCTTAATAGGCATAATTTAAACAAGAAAAATATGTGACCCTGAATTTCCTATTAATGAAGGGTTTCCGAAAGCATCTCGGAAATACAAAAATGTAATCTCAAAGACCATTTGATTCTTAACACAACTCTGAAGGTCCTTCAGACTAGATGGCCCAGGAGGCCCCTTCTGACTTGCTCTCTGAGATACTCTATTTCTGAATGAAATAACTGCTTGAAACAACTTGAAACTAAATAGCAAAAACAACTGACCAAGCCCAAAATATAAAATTCAAAACTATAACTAGACCTAGTATTAAATATTAAAAGGAAGAGATTAATACTGACTACATGGATAATGGAGGAAAGTTCATTGAAGCTACAGATAATTTGGTGCACCTCTCTCGCACTGTACCCTGTGGATGTCCCTAACCTAACCCAAAATTGTCTTATAAACATTAGAGTTTATACAGGTTCTATAATCAAGTGCTTAATACTAAAAACAAAATGTTATTTCTATTGGATTATAGCTTGCTTCTAAAACAAAAATGAGATCAGAATGTGTAAGAGTACCAAGGAGATAGGTAACCAAAGTATAAGCCCTCATTCATGTTAAAATTCCTTTTCCACAGTTGCGCTGAACGTTCTGAGGTAGACAATTCTTGGAGGTGTATGTCCTGTGTTCCCCTATCCAAGCAGAGCAGTTGGGAGAAGGTTTTGATGTTAAACTACTGTTCTGAGAGCGTCAGCTTCTTTTACAGGTTTGTTTGTGGTAGGTTGAAAAGGCCTGCATGTGGGATAGATATTTCTGGCTTTTCTTGCTTGGTAGGTGTTCTACAAATCAAGTTTAAGAATCCTAGTAAGAGAAAGACAAATAATGCTCCATTGGTACCTACTGTCCCTCTCTCTCCACCTCCCCCAAGCAAGCTGCTCATCCCATTTCATGGATGTTGTGACATCTACATTGTACCAGATCATTACCATTTGCAGTTCTGCTACCAGTCGTCCTGATGATCTAGAGTTGTCAAGGTCAGCATTGTAAATATTTCAAAAACATCTTGAATGCATTCCATTCTCATGTAAACAGTGTCTCTCCAGTTTGTAAACATGTTGTGCAAACTGGCTAAATGTTTTATTGTAAGTTGTTCGGAATCTTCTGTTAGTAACACAGTATACAGCATTATCATTGCTGTACTAGAAAAATTGCCAGTGCATCTTCCTCAACTCTAGTACACCACCTTCTTGATGCTCTGAGCAACCAATATAGCTATTGTTAAATTTAAATTCCATGCTGCATTATACTTTTGCCTAATTCTGCAACATAGCTATGCAAGTTTTAAAAAGAAGACTGCATTCAGACATTACAGTCGGCCATTTTTAAAAATGAGCAAATGTGAATGAGTAAACTTGTTGATGCATTCTAGTTGTACATGATTGGTTTTCCTGACAGAGGTGTGGCTAAACAAGGAAGGGACATCCAGCCATGTTCCTTTTAAATAATTTCTGAACCAGGAACTCTGTACTCCAATCCTTTATTTTCCCCTCTCCAAGAAAAACAGACTTTGGCTTATGACCTTGGCTTGTTGGAGGAATAAGCGAAAGCTCCTAATTCAGCTGTCATGCTGAATAGACAACGGATGGAAATTCTTTGATTTGTTTATTCAATCACTGATAGGAAGAGCCAAATGGCGTGATAGAGCAACATACCCTAGTATGGCTACCCTTTCACAGTGAGTCAGAATTTAACAAATGCTGGCTTACCGTAATGAAAGTTCTGATAGTACATGGTAGCCTTCCCCATTTTCTGCTTTTATTTTTATTTTTTTACAAGAAAGAAAATAAAACCTCTATGAAACCTGAGTGATACATCATAAGAGCAATGCAAAACAAAGCTTCTTCTGTTTTAATCTACATGTATGGAACCAGAGAAATGGAATGGAGACATTTGACTTAAGTAATAGTTATTTAGAAAGTATACATGGTTCTTTGTTTTCTGCTGGTCCTATAGGAAAAGGATATATATTTTACAAATAGACAACAGATGTGGCAAAGAAATAATCTAGCAAGGAAAATAGTTAATGCTCTTTTCCTCAGGCCACTACATATACACTAGCTGATGCAATGTAGTGAGTCAGCAGCTGAGGCAGAAATCAAGAACTCCTACTCTGAATCTCAGTTTGCCGGAAATTTGCTAGGTGACTTACAGGAAGTAACTTTAAGCCTCATTCCTCCATTTGTAGTATTGGGAATAATAAGGATGACTAACCTTTTATGTAAACTGCTTGGATTGTGTGAAAGCAGTGCACAAAAGTTAAAGGTTCTTTCTTTGATCTATGCTAACAGCTTTCTTTATATAATGACTTCTATCCGCCTGGACCATCTGGGGTACAGTTCTTCACTGGAGTCCTTGCATAGAAATCCACATAGAGAGCTCCATTGGTGATGCTCAGTTACTTGTACTTTTCTGTTTTGTTCCTTAAATCTTACTGTCTCACCTATTGCTGAAACTTAGATAAACTCCTTAGGGCAGTTTGCTTATGTGCCTTTGCTTGTACTTTGCATGTTCATATGTATTTGGTGTTTCATAAATAATAAACTCTTATATCTAACTCCAGTTCTAGCTTGCTTCTTTATTGTTTGCTGAAGGTCTTATTCCATTGTTCTTGGGGCAACAGAAGAAATTACCATGGCCAAACTACTATATTGTGGTTATAATGAGGTCTGTGATTTCTGTCTTGGTTATAATGTGGACAAATGATGCTGTCTGCACATATATATGGCACAGTAATAAAGAGGATATTCCAACTAAGCTTCTGCTTTAAACATCGAATGCACACAGAGCTCACTTAACTTAAGAGTTTCTTCCTCTTGGTTGACAGAAGCTGAAATTTCAAGTGTAAAGAAACAACAAGGAACATTTTTCAAAGCATTTAGTTCAGTTTTTGCCATTTCCAACTGGTTTGGAGCAGGAAAATTAAGGAAAGACAGGTGTCTTCAAATATCTGAAGGGCCGTAACACAGAAGATGGTGCAGACTTGTTCCAGAGAGCAGGACTAGAAGCAATGGATAAATATGACAAGGAAGCAGACTTGCATTAAATATTGGAGAAACTTCTTAACAGTAAGAGCCATTTGACGGTAAAACAGGCTAGTCATGCTTGTACATGAAGGTGGAAAATTGTGGGTAACAGCTAATTGTAGGTTAACAGTAGGTTAACTGATTTGTTTAATCCACTGGATTTGTAAATCACAGAGCAAGTTTCAGGCAGAGGTTACATATTCAAAATGTTGGTGCTATGCAACTTTGCCAAACGGCAGGTTAATTGAACCATCATTTGTCGCTGTTAAATGTGAACCAGGTCACTGATTTAGTAGGCAATAGACTCTCCTTTGGTGGAGGCTTTTTAACAAAGGTCTTTCTGCCAATTATTAAGAGTGCTCTAGTGGCATTGAACAGGGAGTTGTATTTGGTGGTCTCTAAGGTCCATTTTAGCTCTACAAATTGGAATCCATGAAAGAAATCTCTCTTGACTCAGCCATTGTAATTTAATACTCCACCCAAAGAAGGGGACTTTTCACATGTAGCACCTTCTGTTTTATGTAACCTTTCCACAGTGTTTTCTGTAAGAGAAGGATGCACAAAAGTTGGCTTTGCAGATTTAAACATTCTGTTGTAAATACCTATTTTATTTCACTTATAACTTGGATTTTACTAGTTGAATTCCTGTAGCTGTAAGGAAATACTTAGTTTTGTTTAAATAAGTCAGTTCATTGAAAGGTGATGTTGCAAATCATAAATGAATATTTTGGAATATTTTTTCTAATCTATAATATGAGTGGGTTTTCAGCCACGTTCTTTTGTCTGTGTCTCAGTAACTTAGTTGGGTAAGTTAGATGAGATTGAACCATGAAAGCTTTGACTATACATGATATGATAACATTGTATGATATAGGAAAGACTTCAGCAGTGAATGGGAAGAGAGCTGTAAAGCAGCAGTTGCAAGCTCTTTTTGTTCTATATTTTCATACCTTCAACTCCATTGCCATAAGTTCAATATATTGTGCATTTTTTAACATGCTGTTAATCTGTGTTTTCTCTTAGAATATGGTATCAAGTTTTCGGGTCTCTGAACTTCAAGTGCTGTTAGGCTTCGCTGGACGTAATAAAAGTGGACGCAAACATGACCTCCTGATGAGGGCATTGCACTTGCTGAAGAGTGGCTGCAGCCCAGCAGTTCAGATAAAAATCCGAGAACTCTACAGGCGTCGATATCCCAGGACAATAGAAGGTCTTTCAGACTTGTCTGCTATAAAATCATCAGTCTTCAATTTGGACAGTAGTTCATCTCCAGTAGAATCTGATTTAACTGTTGCTGGACTGCATCAAATCCCTTCCACTTCAGTCACTCCTCAGTCACCTTCCTCACCTCTTAATTCGGTGCTACTTCAGGACACAAAGCCTCGCTTTGAGATGCAGCAGCCATCACCTCCGGTTCCACCAGTGCATCCTGATGTTCAGCTGAAAAGCCTCCCATTTTATGATGTGCTTGATGTTCTTATAAAACCTACAAGCTTAGGTAAGTGTTAAAATGTAACAATGTAATCTGGTTGATTTAGCAAGGCAGTGCAGGACCCTTCTTCAGACTGGAATTACTTTTCAGGAGCATTTCAAGGTTCCTTAACATGTGCACAGCCCCTATACATTATCTGGAAGTAGGGGCAAAATCTGCATGTGCCAAGACACTGTTAAAATGCTCTCTGAATATTACTGCAGCATAACTAAAACTTAACTGCATGTTGCACATAAAAGCCTAAGTCACTCTGTTGTTGTGATGTTTAAGAGGAAAAACCATGGAGCACAGTGGACAGTGCCTGAAGGAATCAAAAGTGACTGAAGACATGATGTAGAAAAGTATATGTGCAGGCATTTTGTTTAAAAAGTTGAAAACTAACATGTAAAACACAGCCGACATGATGCTGCAAAAAGGAAGAAGGGGACCAGGCTTTTTTTTACCAAGGATGTGGTATCTAACTATTCTACTATAACGCACGTTTCTTCGCAGCAGTAAAATTGTGTAGAGATGTAAATTCCTCTGAAGTACATCAGTGCTCCTAAGAATTTGAAGACTTTTTTACTGTATCAAATATACTCAGTTTTATGACTGTGACAGGACTCTCATAAAACTTAAGCAAAAACAAAGAGTAACACAGTGACTAAATTGAGTTAAACTGTGGCTTGTTCCAGTCATAGTTTAAACCCAAACTGTGCTTTGAGGTTCCAAATATTTAGGTGAACGGTGGTTTAGAACTGTTTGTCTGCTTCAGTTCTTCATCTGTTCAATTCCTGCTTTCAGGAACTTTGTTTTATGGCTATAAGTCTGCTTGCCAGTTTAGATGTAATGGCAGACCACCCTGTACTATTGATTTGATGTGGTGCCTGAATTTTCTTGTGTATAAATTGCCTCAGTGCTGCTGTAAATAAAATAGTCAAGTGAGCCCTGTTGGTAAAGTACCATACTGTATGTATTACCAGAGTTTGTGAGGAGCTGTTTGGTCTGAATTTGAGGGTGGAGGGAGTTCTCTCCCTGTTGAGGGGTGGTACCAGGGGCCCAAGAGGAAAATGTGTCTTTTGCATGTTCTAAGGCTGCAAACTGTCTGGCCACTCATTGTTCCAGTCTCCAACATTTTTCTCATCTTCTCTTGTCACTTATCCAACCTTTTCTCTCACTTCGTTTTGTAACCTTCTGCTTCCTACTTCCTCTATTTTTTTCTCTCACTCTCAAACTTTGCTGTTTGTTTGTTTGTTTGTTTAGTAAACTTCTATGCCGCACCATTCGCCGAAGCCTCGGGGCGGCTTACAACAATAAATACATATAATCATATAAAAACAATATAATTGGAAACGCCCTGGCCAAAGATATAAAATCAATAAATAAGCTAACAATTAAAATGCCATTTAAATAAAAAGGTCTTGGCCTGGCGCCGAAAAACATATAACGACGGCGCCAGGCAGACCTCTCTGGGGAGTACATTCCATAGATTGGGTGCCACCACAGAGAAAGCCCTCCTAATTTCCTTCACGGAGGGTTCCCGGAGAAGGGCCTCTCCCGCTGATCTCAAGGAGCGGGAGGGCACGTATGGACGTAAGCGCTCCTTTAGGTAACCAGGACCCAAGCTCTTAAGGGCTTTATAGGTGATAACCAACACCTTGGACCCGGACTTCAATAGGGAATTTCTGTCTTCACCTCCTCATTGCTAGTCCTATATCTTTCCCCTTCTTTTGCTTTTGGCTCCCTTGTCTTGCTCTCCTTTCTCTGGGTTTGCAGGAGGTTGGGAATGATGGATGCATGTGAGTCATTCTAGAACTGAAGGAATGCAAAACGGGCAAGGAACCTGAGTGGACAGATGTGCAATATAAATACTAATTTTGAAATTTAGACAAACCTAAATATGCAGACCCAACTCACTTATTTTTCTTGTAAGGTTATATTAGGTTTATATCAGTAAATGTCTACCTCCTGCATGCTTGACGCTTGTTACGTGGCTATCCACTGACCAACAGAATCTTACTGTAGGATTATTTCAATGTTTGAACAAAGCACATCACTAAACCTTCTGTATTTAGGGTCTACTTTCCTTAGTTAATACTAATTGCATCATATTTACTCCTAAGATGCCACAGCTGTCTTGTTATGATGCTTATAAAGTTATTGGCTTGCCAAGCTACTCGGCCCACAACATGTAAGCGTTTTGGGAACTGATTTTTGCATTTAAACTCTGCTAAAGTCTAGAAAGGTACACGGTGTCATCACAGTTTCCATTCTTCCAAGGGGTGTGGGAGGTGTAGAAGGCCTGTTTCTTTACTGCCTGTGGATGATCACAGCTTTAAAAAAAATTCTGTGTCTCTCTTCAGTACAGAGCAGTATTCAGAGATTCCAAGAGAAATTCTTTATCTTTGCTTTAACACCTCAACAAGTGAGAGAAATCTGCATTTCCAGGTAATGGCAGAATGTTTATCCTGCATTTCCTCATGCATAGTTTCGTTAATTTCTTTACAGAATTGCAAGGGAGTACAACTTAAAGGGAAATTATTTTGAGTATCCCTTTTTCTTCATAAAGTGGCAAATGATCTGCAGGGTATTCAGCTTTCTGAAAGCCACCTCTAGGCAAAATAGCTTCCTGTCTTGGAGTTAACAGTTTTTCACCATCCACAAACATATTTTGCTAGGCTACAGAAAGAGAGGGCAGAATGTTTAGAAATGAAAATCCCATTTGAAACATTAAACTGGATAACAGCAGCTGACTTGTAACTTGAGTTGTGTGTAGTTAATGAGAATATGACGATTCATGATGCATAGATATTTAACACTGGCTGCAATCTGTCATTGCCTCAAATACATTAAATGGACCTAGCAGTAACGGTACTTAGAAATACTCGTTAATTTGGTTATTATTCAGAGTATGTTTGCCAGTTGTTTATCTCTGCAACTGTGAATGCTTGGCCAAATAGCTTCACACCTTGCTGTTTATAGAATATGGTTACATTTAACCTTTGCCTTGTGTAAATAGCTGCCGACAGTGAGCAGGTACAGAAGTAGATTGCACTGTGCCTGCAGCTACTTAAAGCTGTAAATACACACACAGTTGTGCTACACATCAGAAGTTCAAAAGTAGTCTTAGAATTGTCTAACTCATATTTTTGTCACAATAGGGACTTTTTACCTGGTGGCAGAAGGGATTATACTGTGCAAGTTCAGCTGAGGTGACATCAACTTTTTTCATATTACTATATAAATCTGTCTTTTAATTGGGGTGCATTTAAACTTAAGTCAGTGTTGCTATTTCTTTGCTTTAATAGGCTGTGCCTCGCAGAAACAAGCTGCCCTCAAGAAGATAACTATCCTAGTAGTTTGTGCATAAAAGTAAATGGGAAACTCTTTCCATTGCCGGTAAGCTATTGAAATAGGATTCCTGCTTGTACCTGAATTTCTTGTAATCCTGATGTGCCAACACAAAGGAGTGATGTCACACAACTTTACACCTAAATATCCTTAGGATTAAAGTCATAGAACTGGGTTGCTGTAGTATTTTGAGCTGTAGAGTTCTGTGGATTGCAACATTACAAGCATTATTTGCACACAGCATCTCAAAATCCCTTTTTTGCAGTTCAGAGTGCTTTGTCCCAGTTATTCTCTGACTTAGGAAAGATTAGCAAGACATCCATGTAGTATTGTATCCAAATTTGCTTTCTCTTAGCTGCCCTTTGAGTAGGTTAGTAATTTCAAATACCTGTCATAGGGAACATCTTTTAATAGTGGTGACTTTCATCTTTCCTCAGAGCAGTTTAAGTAACTAAGGCTGAAATTTTCTGCACACTTATTCATGCAAATCCCCATGAAGTTCTATATAGATTTATATAGGATTGCACTATAAGGCTGCAGTCTTCTGTATTCCTACTTAAAAGTTTGCCGTATTTTTCCCTGTGCTTTTCAGGGATATGCTCCACCACCCAAAAATGGAATTGAGCAAAAGAGACCTGGGCGCCCCTTGAATATTACATCTTTAGTCAGGCTATCTTCTGCAGTGCCAAACCAGATTTCTATTTCCTGGGCATCTGAAATTGGAAAGGTAAATTGAAAGTGTTTTCATATGTTACAAAATATTTTCATGTAAAACAGTACAGGATTATGTTTTCCTGCTTGTTATTTAACACATTCATGAAACTCTCAGCTTTTGTTCAACTTACTATGGTCTCTTCTGTACGTTTTGTAAATATAGACTGCTTTAATTCTTTGTGATATCTTTGGATCTTCTCATTCTGTCATGACTTTCACCCCTGTAGAATTATTCGATGTCTGTATATCTTGTACGCCAGCTAACTTCAGCAATGTTGCTACAGAGGCTAAAAATGAAAGGCATTCGGAACCCCGATCATTCACGAGCACTAAGTAAGTAGAATGGTTCTTCTATTTTTCATTGAGTAACTGGAATGGACCCATCTTCTCCAGTGTAATTGTGTAATAAAATAATTTAAGAACATAGGAGCAAGCCAGATCAGACCTAGGTCCATCTTATCCAGCATTCTGTTCTGAGGTATTCAGGAAGGGAGTAGGATAAGGCAGCTACTGGTGACAAAAGAGGAACCTTTCAAACCCTATCAACAAACTGAAAGTGAATAAATTACTGGGCCTAAATGGAATCCACCCTAGAGTTCTTAAAGAACTCAAAAATGTGGAATTGTTGACCATCTTACAAAAATATGTAACATGTCCCTAAAATTAGTCTCTACACCAAAGGACTGGAGAATGGACAATGTAACAGTGCTTTTTGAAAAGAGATTGGGGGTGGGGCAGGGGAATCTGGGAAATTACAAGCTGATTAGTTTAATGGCTATTCTAGGTAAATTGGCTGAAAGTGTTATTAAAGATAGAATTAATGAGCATATGATAAGCACCACTGAAGAAGTATCAGTGGCTTCTGCATTGTTCTGTGCCACTCACTTTTTAGAGTTCTTTGAGTGTGTCAGTAAACATGGAATAAGGGGAGGTCCTCTTAGGGATCAGTAACTGGTTGAAAAACAGAAAGAGAGAGAGTAGGAATAAAGGGTAACTTCTGGCAAGGGAGATGTGATCAGCGGAATCCCACAGGGAGCTATATTGGAGGCAGTGGTTTCTAATTTGTTCATAAATGTTTTAGAATTAGGGGTGAGCAGTGAACTGTCCAAGTTTGTGGATGGCCTCAAACTATTTTTGGTCATCAAAACCAACAGGGGAGTGTAAAGAGTTCCAAAGGAGTCTCTCCAAACTGGGAGAAAGGGTGTCAGAATGACACATGCAGTTCAGTATAAGCAAGTACAAAATAATGTACTTTAGGGTAAAATAATCATGACACCTTCAAAGTTGCACGCTTGCCAACAAAGATAACTCACTACTTCAGTAGTGGAGTTGCATGGTTTGCCTTTAAAGGTTCTGTAACCTGAAACTTGGCAGGTTTTGCCATATTTTTGTATTGTACTAGATTTGTAAATAGATGAAATAGATTAGATAAATGCTTCTTTGAAGGATTGCATAACCAGAGTGATATCTCATTTTACTGAGAAACTACCTCAGCTCTTTAATTGTTCTTTCTCACTCTCTTTTTCAAAATAATAGTTAAAGAAAAACTCACGGCTGACCCAGATAGTGAAATTGCTACTACCAGTCTGCGAGTATCACTTATGTGTCCTGTAAGTAAAAGTTGTATGTAAAATATTCCAGATGTATTCCCTAGCATCTTCAGCTAAAAGTGAATTATTTATATTATTTTAATTCTACTCCTAAGCCAAAAGACAGATGGAGTGGTTTGCAAGTAATTTGTTACACCACTGGTAGATACACCTGTGGACTTAAAATCTTTTTCAAAATGACATTTTGAAATTACTTTCAAAAAAGAAAGGACTAGGGAGGGGAAGGAGGAATCCTAGAACAGTAGAGTTGGAAAGGGCCAATAAGTCCTGCTCAATGCAGGACTCCAGGTTCAAGCATCCTAACAAATAGCTGTCTAGCAGCTTCTTGAGTGCCTCCACTGTGGGAGAGCCCACAACCTCCCTCAGTCATTGGTTCCATTGTTGTATCGCTCTAGCAGTCAGGAGATTCTGGGTGATGCTCAGCTAGAATCTGGCTTCCTTTAACTTGAGCCCATCTGTTCCCTGCACTTTGGGATGACTGATAAGAAGTCCTGGCCCTCCTCTGTCTTGACAGCCTTTGAAGTGCTATCATATCTCACCTCTTCTCAGGATTAAATATATCAGTTCTTCCACTCTGTCCTCATAGGGCTTTGTTTCCATTCCCTATCATCATCTTTGTTGCCATTCTTCCACTGCAGTCTGCTGCTAATCTCCTGCTGGCTTTCCCTGTTCACTCTGATTGCTCACTCTCTGGGAGTTTGCTTGCACGTTTAGGTTGTAGTCCAACTAGGGCAGCTTCTTCTGTTCGTAGGAGTCAGGAAACAGAAGCGGAGAACTGTTATTATTACATTAAATTTATATTCATTAAAATCATTATTATTACATTAAATTTATATAAATTTAAATTTATATTCTGCCCTTTTTCCTCTGATGGCTTACGTAATTGCATTTTATCCTCACAACAGCAACCCTGTAAGGTAGGTTGGACTGAGAGTCTGTGGCTGGCCCAGAGTCACCCAGTGAGCTTCATGGCTGAGTGGGGACTAGAATCCAAATCCCCCAGGTTCCCAGTCCAACACTTTTAACAACTACACCACACTGCTCTCTTGTTTTCTGTAGGGTTGGTAGAATAGCCCTACTCTGCTGTCTCATCTCTCTCAGCCCAGCCTGCACAAATGGCTGCTGGTGGTGACAATGTAGGGGAAGAGGAGGCATCACAAGGAGGGGATCTTCAGCAGGTCCGGTAGAATTGCTCTGCATCCCCCTTTGGGAGAGCCGGACTAGAAGTAGCTTTATCTGAAACTCTGGAAGCTTCTAATCAGAGGAGTCAGTATTGAGCTAACTGAATAAGTATTGTGACCCTGTACAAGGCAGCTCCATGTGTTCATAAGCCTGTATTAGTGATTTGGATGGCAAATGTTCTTGGACTTGTTATTGAGAGCTTTCCTAAATCAAGACAAGACACAACTCACCCAAACACGTTTCTGGAAGGATTCCAGTTGACAGATTTTCTAGTGTGCTATCACAACCTGTCTGCAGTATACAGGCCTCTGATCTACACATACATTCTGCCATTGTACAATGCTATTAGAGTTGTACATGGTATTTTATACAACTTCCTGGTGAACGGGTTCTTATTGAAATCTTTCTTTCTCTGAATACCATAGATCAGATGTGGAACACAGCCTGGCAGCTAAGCAGGAGCGCTGTAACTGGGTAGAGATGGACCAGTGAGGAGTTTGTTGGCTCTTTGTCCATCCAAACTGTACATTGTTGGGCAGCTGATGATCTCTGCATTTGTCTTTCGTGAGCAACACTTTTGGTGTGAATTGTGTGTGCTTTTGAGAAAGACATCTGCTTCCATCATTTGACAGTGGATTTTCCCTCCTCTTTCATCGCTGACTTTTCCTCTCCCCACTATTCTCTCTCGTTCTTTCTGTCTGACCCTGTCTCCAGCTGGGGAAAATGAGACTGACAATTCCCTGCCGTGCTGGTACATGTACCCACCTGCAGTGCTTTGATGCTGCTCTCTATCTACAAATGAATGAAAAGAAACCTACCTGGATATGTCCTGTGTGTGACAAGAAAGCAGCATATGAGAGTCTCATCTTAGATGGGTAAGAAAAGAATGCAGCGTCTTGTTTTGAGAGGATAGTTGTGCTCTTTGAACAGTAAAGGCAGCTGCTGAATTTGGCCTGTTCTGTAGAGGATTACCACTCAATATTTGCAGAAACATTCTACTAATCCAAAGCAACAAAAAGGCTTGCAGCCAAACCAGAAGCTTGTTAGGTAGTTTGACACTAGGAAATTAAACATTTACTAGCATTTTGGTTATAACTGCCCAGTGTGTACTGTGATGAAAGTCTTTAAACAGCTCTATGTTGCCAGTCAGTTTTTAAGGCCTGACTCTTTGTCCCATGCTGAAGTCTGTGAGCAGTTCTATGTAATAGTGAAATGACACACAGCTAATGTAAGCTTGAAAAAGACCACATAGGTCTTGATCCTTTGAGATGCGTTCCACAGGCTGATTAACAAAGACCTTTCCCATGATCAGAATATGTATCGAGCCATGTTTTGATTAGCACCCTAGCATTCCCAAGAGACTTTTAAAGACATGGCGATAGTAACATGATTTCAAAGTATTCACTATAATGTCCAAATGACATCTCAAACAGGTAAGCATCTATAAGATGTATTGTAATAAAAGCTATTATTCACAAACAGTTACTCTATGTGGTTGAGACCCAGTCTGCTGTGGTGGTTAGAGTGATGCACTGGGGACCTGGGAGAACCAGGTTTTAATCCTCACTCAGTCATGAAGCTCACTGGGTGATTTTGGACCAGTTACCTGGTCTCAGTCTACTTTGCAGGTTTGTTGCCAGGACAAAATGGTGAGACAGAGGACCATATAAGCCACTTAGGTTCCTTTCAAAAGGAAAAAAAGTGGTGTGTTTAGTTTCTAACATGAGTATTGAGTCAAACCTGCACACCTCCAGTGTTAAAACAGCCTGTGGTCCAATTTCTAGTGTTCAGTTCCAAAATGCATGCTGGTAGAATGTCATTTTAGCCGGTGAGCAGTACCTCATAGTGCTAATAGCCATTGTAATAATGAGATGGTACTTGAGCTCCTTTTAGAAGGGAGCATGTTTCAAATGCCCTATCAGCAAAATTAATGGAAACAAACTAATATATTGAATGCTGTTTTCCAGGCTCTTTATGGAAATTCTGAATGAGTGTTCAGATGTAGATGAAATCAAATTCCAGGAGGATGGTTCCTGGTGCCCTATGAGGCCAAAGAAGGAAGCTTTGAAAGTTGTTAGCCCACAGTGCACCAAAATAGAAAGTAAGTAATTTTGGAGTTAGATTAAGGAACACTTTTTTTCTTGGTGTGTGAAACTTAATTCTGGGCTTTTACTTCACCCACCTGCTCAAGAGGCGGAGAGCTCATGACTGGAAGGTTTTTAAACTTCTGCCTCCCTAGAATAAGCACCTTCCCTGTCTGACTTGGGACAGACATAAATCTCTCTCCTGCCCCCCACCCACCCAGACGCTCTGCCAGGCCTTTCAAATTTCCATTAATCCGCTTAAGATTTTTTCATTCTTCACTCTTAATTTTATTTTCAATCTCTTTTCTGAAGTTCCTTCTCTCTTTAAGTACCAGGAAAATCTCAATTTTTAGGTTCTCTTTCCTTGTTAACTTGACTTCTCAAGGCATCAATCTGAAAGCCTTCTGGAATGGCCTGCCAAAAATTGTGTACGAAAGCACCGGTCCTGTCAGTCCAGCCAAGCCACAAAGTGAACTCCCAACTTGAGCATTCCTCTAGCAACCCAGCAAAGCAGCCAAAGAGGCAGGAGCTGCATTTCCGTGCAGTTTAGCGGCTAGTTGTGGCATCAAAGGGCATCCGCTGACTGGCAGCTCCGCCAAAAGGTTCAGGCCTCCCTTTGCTTCCCACAGTTTTTTCCCAAGCCAGATGAGACAAATTTCAGCCCATTTGCAGTACTGCTATGCAAGGGGAAGGTCTTCCTCCCACAGGCCGCCAGATGGTAGCAGAGAGTAATCTGTGCAGTCCCCATGGCTGCTGTATGGTAGCAGGGAGTAATTTGTTAGATGGCCGCTCCACAGCCTTCCAGTCATCTGCTTCCCATCAAGAAGAGCCTGTCTGACCAGGGTGTTGCAGCTCCCAGGCTGTCTGCATCTGTCCTTGGTTCATTCCCAGAGCTGAAGCTGTAAAGAATGAGCAGCTACATAAAAGAGCGAGAAAACATAACCATAAAAGGGACATCATTCCTCTTCCTCTTCAATATCCCTCCCTATCCCAAGAGAGAAAAGAAACCAGTGTGAGATAACAACCCCAAGGCTCTCCTTGTACCTCTTCTTCAGATTGATGGGCAGGGTATCTCTTGATCACCACATAGGACTTCAGGCAACAGACTCTGATAAATCTATGATTATTCCACCTCTCAACTCTTGGATTGTTACAGGCTGAACAGTGCACTGCGATGCAGTAAAAATGGGTTAAAATCCCTGTGTCCTCTCTTCCGTTTCTGCCTCACCCAAGTCATATCCAGACCTCAGCTGAGAGATCTTTGCCAGGGTGCATAAGCAGTTCTGGGGATTCTTAGAGTAGGAAGCAGTCTCCATGAGGGCCACTTCTGTTCATTCAACCAGGGCTCTGGCATGCTGGGCCAGACTTTTCCTTTGTTCCAAAAATTAAACTGGGAAGGTTTTTCCTTCCACCTGCCCTTACCCTTCTCATTTCTGAGTAGGCCTGATAGCTCTGGATGTTAGGAGGGGCAGCAAAAACTATCATAACAGGAACCTTAACATTCCAATTTCCAGTTTCTTTCTTTCCATCCTATTGAATCTGGAAACGAAGTATGTCCTGTACCATACTAGACATGTATAAGTTCAAGGTGTCTGTTTGCAAGCTATGAGGTTCGACTCTCTAAACATGTACACACACGTTCCACCAAGCTCCTCAGTGCCTTGGTAGTTTTTCCTCTATTTTGCTCCTTTCGTAGAGAACTGCATAGCAACTACTTTGTTCTTACATCACACATTTATTAGGCATTATAAACAACAAATGTGCTATGGCTGCATCCATTTCTTGGACATAGAGTCAACAGGTTCTCCCTCAAGCTTAGGTTCCGGCTGCTATGGGGTCCACCCTATAGGAATAAGTAGCTTTTGTATACCTCATGATGGGCATCTGTTTGCACTGGATGAGAATGAAAAGTTGGATATTTACTATGAAGCTTTATTTTGGTTCTGTACGCAGGAGATACTGATACCAAACCCTATGTCAGGTTGAGCACTCTATATCTTTTCAAAGTGAGAGTGATCATTCCTAAGAAATTAGTTTTTGTTTTGTCTCTTTGGTTGCCTTTTTTCCTTCCTTCATTTCTGCTTTCCAAACCCCTACTTCGCCTAAAAGCTTAACTAGTAAAGAACTTCCTGGGAGGAGCAATGAAGGCCAGGATCAAGGCAGGAGGCATGGGCACATGTTGTCTGTCCTGGGCGATGGGAGGAGTTAACCATGATGGTTGTCTCTTGTGTACCAAACTGGAATACAACTTCATGGTAAGTACCCAGTTTTTGAGAGGAGTAATGATTCCAAAACACTTTGAACATTGCAAAGCAGTGGGAGCCAGTAACCCTTCAGATAATTGGACTCCAGCTACCTTCAGTCAGCATAACTGAGGTTCTGGATGTTGGAGTCAGCAGCATTTAGAGGGATATAGGTTCCTCACTCATGTTGTAAAATGCAGTAGAGATGATAGTCTGAGTGAATAACATTAGAAGTAGACCTCTTCTCCAAGACAGGGGTTATTGGAACTTTCTCCGTTGGTTGTTCCTTACAGGTTCCAGCATGGTCAGCAAGCCATGCTCCATGCCCATTGGTGAGGTCAGTAAGAAGAAAGTTGATGTCATTGATCTGACTGTCGAGAGCTCATCTGATGAAGAGGAAGATGCTCCTCCCAAAAGGAAATGCATATACATGTCTGACACACAAGCAAGTCCCACCAAAGGGTTTGTTCATTTTAAGTAAACCAATGTTGCCTGCCCTAGCTCATTGGACAGTCCAAATGTAAGAGTCTTTTCTTTACAGATCGGGTCTTCAGGTACCCAAGCAAGTTGGCACAGTCCTCTGTGTTGTGCTTTTTCCAACTAGAGAACTGCTGTTAGTTGTGGAAAGGTTGTAGCTTGATGGTGGAGCACATGCTTTTTGCACAAAAGGTCCTGGGTTCAGTTCCCCACCTTATCATAAGCACATCACAAGAACCCTGCTGGATTGTTCGAAGAGCCCATTTAGTCTAGTATCCCAGTTCTCAGAGTCGCTAGCCAGATGGCTCTGAGAAACACAGAAACAAAGTGTGAAGACAGTTGCATTCCACCTCACTGTGTGTCTGCAGCAATTTATTGGCAGCTCTCCTGTAAAAGAATCTTGGGCAGCACTGGATGGGCTGGAAAAGACCCCTGTTTTAAGCCATGGATAGCCACTGCTGGATGGAGTTGATGAACTGATGCTTTGTCTGGGCATGAGGCAGTTTCTTCTGTCCATATACACTAAGGAAGTTAAGCTAGATCTTAAAGAGCTGATGATTCATACTGAACCAGCTGTATCTCAGTTTTCGATAGGGTACCTACTTTAGTGGATCATGGGAATGCTTTGGACATAATAAAAGCTTCCGTATAGCCCAAAGTGCCTGATATTTCCTAATTTTGGAAGCTAAGTAGGATCAGACTTGGTTGAAATCTTGATGGGTGACTTCAATGTTGTGAGCCACCCAGAGAGCTTTGGCCATGGACTATATAGAAATGTAATGATAATGATAACATCTTGATTTCAGCAAAGATCTTGCTCACATGTTCCTTGCCTTGTCCTGGACAGTGAGAGGACACAATCCATCACAGATGCCTTCTTCATATGAAACTGGATGGAACTTCATAATGAGTGACCAACCTTGTCTTTTTAAAGTTAGCCTACAAACCATTCAAATCCCACCATGGGTTGAGGAGTTAGGAAATGCTGATATTTTAGACTGCTCCTGAAATATTGTTTCCTTCTACAAAGTGAATTCATAGCTCCCTGTGCCAAAATGGCTGTTAGCATTCCTACAACTATTACTGCGTTGCATTTGTATCCCACTCGTGCAGAGCCCGAGGTGGCTTATATAGCTCCATTTTATTTTCAGAACAAGAACCCTGTAACATAGGTTGGGTTGAGAGTAAGTGACTGGCCCAAAGTCACCCAGTGATTTTCATGGGCAAGTGGGAACTAGAGCCCAGGTCTCCTGGTTTTCCGGTCCAGCATTAACTGCCACACCACACTGGCTCTCACAATGCAAAGCAGTCCTCCCTGACCTGATTACTGTTAAATCCCCACCATTTGCAGCAATGAAACAGTGCTCCAGATTGTCTTGGTGTTGCAGCTAGAGTAACCTCCCTGCAACTCTGATGGCTGTTCTGCCATTGCCATTAGTGTCACGTGTAGTTTTCACAATGACAGATGGTGAACTTGATGAACTGCACAACTGGGCTTTATGTTTGTTTATGTTATTTATTTAAAACTTTTGTATGCCATCCTATATAGAAATATCTCAGGATGGCTTACAGCATGTTAAATGAAGAAAAGCCAACTTGAGGTACCTATAAGGCTTTCAAAAACCAATTTAAACAACCCATGGGATCTATAAAGGTTCACATTATCCAGCACTTTAAACCAGTGGTTTTATTTATTTATTATTTCGATTTATATCCTGCCTTTTTCCTACAAATGGCTCAAGGCAACTTACATCATTCTCCTCCTCCATCTTCTCCCCACAACAACAACCCTGTGAGGTAGGTTGGGCTGAGAGTCTGACTGGCCCAAAGTCACCCAGTTGCCTCTGTGCTTGAGCGGGGACTAGAACCCAGATCGTCTGAGTCCCAGTTCCATGCTCTTAACCACTGCGCCACACTGACTATCAGCTGGGTACCAGCAAAAACAGGAAAACCACCTTGGGGACTGCTAAGGCAGAATCAATAAGCACCCTACACATAATACAGTATTCTATATATTAGTTTCTACCAAAAAAAGTGAAAATTCTCCAAAACAACCAGAAACTGAGCACCAGAAAATGGCAAGAAAAGAGCAAAATACCAAAATTGGTGCAGTGTGACTTCCAGCCTGCTCCCTCCCACTGAGTCTCTCCACTCTCTGCCCCACCCTCCAATAGCACCGGAACACCCCACAAACATGGGAAAATGAACTTGTTAAACAAAGGAAAGATTTTGAGTAAATTTTAAAAATTTTACTTAAAGGAAGTCTTAAGTAATTCACAGACTCCTAAAGTGGAATTGGTGCCCATCTCTCAAACTCATTCTATTGCATCAGGCAAATACCTGGTGAAATAACTGCCCTTCCTGTTAACCTGATGTTTAACACATGATGGTTGTCTGAATTGTTACCATGTGCATTAATTTTATAGTCGTAAAGGAAGCTCTGTTATCCTTTGCCTTTGATCCAGCTACCCACCTTCTCTTTCTTCATTATGAATTGTAACTGCTGAACCAAAGTCCCAAATTGTTCATTGGTTTTCTAGAATGACATGTTTTCTTGAAGCCAGTCTAAAAGGATGTGGCGGTGACATGGGGCTGTGTTTCCATACTTTGTTCCATCTGATAAGTCAGCTGTGGAGGTAGCCCTTTTGCTGGAATGGGTATCTTTCCTTAACAGCTGGACCCTTTCTTTGTCCAGCCTACCAGAGTAGTTGCCTGCAGTAGGCATGCCTTGCTTTTGACTGGTGAGTCCTGTGTGTGAGAGAGACTCCTTTGCCTTCCTTTGGCTAGCCATGACAAAAGGAGTAGAGTTCCTTTTTGTTTGCTTTTGTTACTGGGTAGCAGGAAGCATTATTACTCTAGATCCTAGCTCCTCCCCCAGTTAGGGGGCAGATGCAGTGTAGCTGGGGCCTTCCCCAGCAACTGTTGTGGTAGAGTAGGTTTGAGGTTAGTTACCCAGAAGGGATAGTTTACTTCGCTTTTTCGTGTATCCTCTCTACTTCCCACTCTAGATGGGAAGTGTGGCTTGAAGGTTTCTGACCGGAGAGGTGTTTCTTCTGCTCAGTAATACTATTGAGGCATTTAAATCTGGGCTTTAACCTTCAGGCACTGAAGTGGGGATTCAATATTTTCCTTGATATTAAGTCAAGGTGCAGCACATATTTTTGGCTTGGCTGGAGATAATGTTACTTGCTTTTTCTTTTAAATGCTTAGATTCTGATTTTAATCATTACTGGTTATAGCACCTCTTTAAAAAGCATATCATGTGTTCTCTCAGACTCCACAAAGGCCTGTTTTGGCCCATGTTGGCAGGATAGAAATCCAAATAGGTGAGAAAGAAATATTCCTGGCTGTACTGTAGAGTGAGTGGTCACACACAAGTTGGTTGTATTGCATTCTGGTGACATCATGAACAGGAGGTCACTTCCAACTAACTGCTGGGCTATTCCTAACAGTTTGCCTTCTGTTTCAAACAGGGTGCTCATGTATCAGCCATCTTCTGTCCGAGTGCCAGGGGTGAGCACAGTGGACCCTACAACTATTCCACCCTCATTAACGGATTACCCTGTACCATACCACCATCCATCAATATCAAGTATTTCATCAGACTTACCTGGTAGGTAGATGTCGGTGGGGCGGTATTGTTCCTGAACTCATCATGAGAGTAATAGGAGCAGATACAAGGCAAGAAGCCGATACGGTTATGGTTGGAGGGGGTGTCTGAAGGCTCGAGTTCCCTTCCCCTCCCTGCATCTCTGAGAGATCATTCCAACATGTAGGCACTACTTCTAGGTTTTCTTCCAGACTTTAAACTTCCACATTTGTTGAATGTACATTGAAAAGACCATGTTGTCCAAGACTCCGATAATCTAGTTCAGCTCCCTGGTTCTGTTTCCAGTTCTAAAGTATAGAATATCGACTCTGCTGGAGGCCACCCCCAAAATTGTTAGCGAACCCTAGGCCTGTTTTGGCATGGCCATATGCACACACTTTTGTGCTGCCCCTCTCACTTGCGCATGGACACGCACACACTCCCACTTAGGAGATTTTCCTTGCCACCATGTATTGATTGAGATATCGTTACAGTATCGCTTGCTTGGTATTTTGCACATGTAATTATTATTATCCATGTTACCAATAAAGATACACCTTCAGCCTCCCAACCTTTTTAAATGAAAGCAAGATGTACCTTTGGCATGCGTCTTGCTGTTCTTTTTGGTCTCTGTGGATCACATATATAGACTCTGTGCCTGTGCAGGGCCTGTTGCCAGAGAGATTCCCTAGCTAAGCATTTTGGCAGGAGTCCCACTCCCTTTCCTCTGTGGTATATAAAGGTAGGGTTCCAATCATTTTCTCCACTTTGTTTTCAACCATTGCCATGGATGCCGTGGATTCATTCTATCCCTAGCTTCACCTCACAGTCTAGAACCCCCTTTTTGCTTCATTTTACCTCATTAAGACATCCATTTTCTTCTCTTTGACTATAACCAATTATACCTTATGGCTCCAGTCCCTACTGGCCAACGCCCAGCAATGTGCTAAGCACCATCACCACTCATACCGTCCTTTCCATCTGGCTGCTCCTTTTCCTCATTTGTCCCCACAGACTACGCATCGGACTCTGGCCAACCAATGTACAAATACCCAATGCCTCCATCACCAGAGGACATGATAACCTGGTGGTGGATGAAGTTTTAGGATCCCCCTCCAAGGACCTAAGAAGTTTTTCAGACCAAGTTTTCTGGATGGCAACATCTCTCAAATTGGAGATGTAGCAGTTAGCTGAGCCACAAGTAAATTCCATATACGATGTTGTCCAGATGGAGGATGCTGCTGGTGGTCATTTCATTTGTGCCAACCTTCCTAAATGCCACAAAGAACTCATGGAAGACACTGGTACAACATGGGCCAACACATCATGCTGCCTAGAGGGGCTATGCCCAGTTCAGGAGAGGAATATCCTGGTTCCTTTTGCACCATCATGTCCAAACTTGGTGATTGTGGAATCAGCCCAGCAAGAACACTCAGTTCCTGTGGATTGTGGAGGACGGTGACTGGGTTCTACAGCTAGGAGAATATATGCAACAGTGGGACATGGCCTTCATATATAAATATGAAGAGACAATGGTACACTACCAAGGATTTCTGTGGGAGAAGATGGGGGCCCTAGCACAGTTTCTTCTGGAACAACAGCAAGAACTTGCTAGTGTCTTCCAGTTGGAAGCTCTATGGCTCTCCAACCAAAAAATTATCATGGCGCATCATCACCTGGATTGTGATTTAAGAGCCCTAGTCATTGCCGTAGCTGTCCACCACCATGCATGGCTGGGAGCATCAAGCCTTCCACAAGAAACTCAAGCCCAAAAGGAAGCAGCGAGTCCGAAGGGGCCTCCCTCTTGGGCCATCTGATCCCCAGCTCACTCCACTCATGTAATCCCCAACATGTGGTAGTCCAGTCTTTCCTTGAAAGAGATACCTTTTGACAACAAGAGTCTCTTCAGCACACGGACTGACAAAAAGTTAGATAGTGTGCAAAAGGCAGTGGCAGTGGCAAGAAGAATGGTCTTTGCACCACCCCAGACACTCTTGACACATTCTCCACTCGACTCCACTGAGCGACACTACCCTTCTCCATGAGGTAAACTTGCCAGTCACCCATGAAGAAGAATGGCAGGTTTCCTTACCTGTAACTGTCATTCTTTGAGTGGAACAGAGGATCAGTCTTACACCCTGATGTCTGGACCTTGCATCTAATGGCATGGAGGTACACTGGGTTGACAGGAACCCCCCTATGACTCAAGATACAGTCAGTCCTCAGTGCTGCACTCAAACCAGGAGATCATATGAAACAAAATGGAAGAAATTCAAGCATCAAATCCTCATTTTTCCGCATGATCTCCATCTCAAAGGTTTGAACTCAACCTCAATTAGATGTGCTTAGCAGCTATATCTGCTTTTCGTGGAATGGATGAGGACTGCTCAGTCTTTTCACATCCTTTTGCCAGATGGTTCCTAAAAGGGCTACTCAACCTTGAACTGCCAGCCTGGTCAGTTATGCCAGGATAGAGCCTTTCAGTGGTTCAGTAAGCTCTCACAAAGCCCCCCTTCAAATGCTTAGCTATCGTTGACCTCCACCTTTTCTCCTGGAAGTTGTCATTTCTGGTAGCAGTCACTTCAGCCAGACAAGCTAGTGAGCTAAGTGTTCTCTGAATTGACCTACCATTCCTCTTTTTCCATAAGGACAAAGTGCTTCTCTGGACCAGTCTTTCCTGCCTAAGGTTGTCTCTCTTGGTTCCACTTGAACCAAGACATAACCGTAATGGCTTGCTTCCCAATACCATCCAGTCCAGTGGAAACAGCCGTCCACAGACTGGATGTTCAAAGGGCCCTATTCCTTATCACTCCCACACACAACCATCCCACCAATCCAAAAAACTGTTTGTCTTGTATGAGGAAAGATCAAAAGGCAGTCCCATAACTCCACAAAGACTAGCTTCCTGCATTGTAGAAACCATCAAGCTAGCCTACCAACTAACTGGACTGCAACTCTCAGTAAAACCAAAAGCACATTCTGTCAAAGCTGTGGCTACATCCACAGTGCAGCATGACAATATACTGGTAGAGGGCTTATGCAGAGCAGGAACATGGTCCAGTCCATCTACATTCATTTGGCATTGTTCGAGCCGGACAAGACGGCTCCTTTGGATGGGCAATCCTATCAGTAGTCCTCTTCTGACAATACCGACCCTCCTCCATTCCAAGGTAAACTCTCTAGTCTCCCATATGTGTGATGCACGGAGACCATGAAGAAGAAAGTAAGGTTGCTTACCTGTAACTGACATTCTTTGAATGGTTATTTGTGCATTCACCCAACCCACCCACAGGTTCCATGCCGGTGTTGATGACTATATTATATTCAAATATTCAACCAATACAGTCCTTCCTTATTCATTACCTTTGCATTCATACCTTACTGGTGCAGAGAGGGCTGAAAATGGCCATCCCTTCTCTAGATCCATTTTCTCTGGAGAAAATGGTGGGAGCTCCACCTTTATATACCACAGGGGGAAAGGGGACAGGGCTTCTGCCAAAATGCTTAGCTAGGGAATCTCTGACAACAGGCCCTGAGCAGTCACAGATCCCGTATGTGTGAATGCACAGATGACCACTTGAAGAATGTCTGTTACAGGCAAGCAACCTGTCTCTGACTTAGGGTAACTCTGTGAATGAATGCCTTGCAAAGTACCCTGTCCTTAATCTGAAGGCTATAGCTTCCTTTAGGGAATTGATCTATCTCATAGTTGATGGGCATGCATACATAAGCCCATTTAATTGTTCCATAACAGTCACTCAGTATAGGACCAGTGGAAAATCTGTCTGGTATTTTTAAATAAATGCAACTTGGAGGTATTAAGTTTTCAAAAACCTACAACTCTTGACTGTATGTAGAATTCATAGTCTGCCAGAGGAAGGATGCCTTTAGTGAACAGGACTTCTTCATCCCCCAGATAAGTGATTTGGGTGGTGCGGGGTGTGGGAGGTTGCAGTGGAGGGGAGATGGCAAAGAAATCTTGTAGTGCAAGTGGCTTCCTTCCTCTTGCAGAAGAGGGGTTTTGGATTTGACTCTTGGAACTGTAAATGTTGTCCCTTTCCCACACTTTGCTTAACATTACTGAAGCTATCCAGCAAATGATTCCTGGTTCGAAAATGTATTTGTAACTGATAAAATATCCTCTTGCACCATTTCTTGTTCTGTTTTCATGCTAATTGATCAGTAAGGGCTTTCTTTTCCCAAGAAGTATGCATTGGAGGTTGTAGTTCAGCAGATTATACTTGAGGGAGGAGTCAAAGCTGGTGGTAGAACTTCTAGGTGGGATCCATCTGCAAAATGTTGTCGAGATAAATGCATCTGTTTATGTTTCTACCTGAGTATTTTTCTCGGGACAGTAGGGTGAATACTTCTGGGCCCCAGCTATATTAGATTTCTCCATTGATGTGTAGAAACTTCTAACCTCTTTCCCTGAGAACACTTAAAATAGCCTTTCAGTGCCAGCCTGTCCAGTAGAGTTCTGACTACCCATGTTGTCTCTTCTCCCATCTTGCTCTCCAGCCACTCCTTCTATCTCCCCACTCTTCCTCATGAAAGGAATGGCAGGGGGGAGGGTGGCTGAGAGACGGTAACTGGCCCGACGGTAACTGGCAGAGCAGGGATTTGAACTTAGGTCTGCCCAGCCCTAGACTGGTATTCTAACCTCTTGCTGTCCTGTTGATGTAGCTTTTAATAAAGGTTGTCTGTTCCCTAAAGGCTGCATGTCCTTTCTTCCTAGGTTTGGATTTTCTTTCTTTAATCCAAGTTGATCCACAGGTAGGTGTCTTGACTACAAGTGATGTACTTTTGTTACTAATACCATGGAAATTTGAATTAAACAGGATTTACTTGGAAATGAATAAAGCAGGGAAGGAACCCTCTGAGAAGTGATAGTTGTATACTTGGTATAGGATTAATATGATCCTCACCGCTGTCGCATGGCTGGCTTCTGTGTAGCATTGTTATGTTACTTTTGTTGGAACTGTTAACATCCCTGTAAAGCACATGTTCTAGATATGATGTCATACTGGAGCAGTATTTTTCATAATTTCGTTTACATCTCGCTTCTTAAGTTTCAGTGATATATAGATAGGTGACAGAGAACTATGACCTAGAAGTATGGCAAATAACATATGCATGGCCCTCCAGAAGTTGGTGAACCATAGCTCCAGTCAGCCCTAACCAGTGCAGATAATCACAACAGAAAATGGGAGCTACAGTTCAACCGCCTGCTTTATAAGCAGAAGTTTGTCCATGTAACAAACTGCTCCATTCGTTGGTTGCCATGACCATATTGCCCATGTCCTAGTCAAAGCCTGAGGCAGTTTCCTTTCTCTAGTAGCTCGGATGCGTGTGCTTTTTCCCCCTTGTGCATCTAGTCTCTCTTATCTGCACCATTGTTTGTTTCAAGCAGTACTGTGCTCCTATGTTTTTGGATAGTCTCACCTCGACTTTGCCAACAAGCACCACCCCCGGCAACATCATCACGTCCACCAGCCACCATGAGAGCAGCACTCGTGTCAGTTCCTCAGGCCGGAGCGAGACAGGCGTAATCACCAGCAGTGGGAGCAACATTCCTGACATCATCTCTCTGGACTAAAAGCTGGCAGAATCTGCCAGTTCGGAACTAGACAGACTTGCCAGTCGCATGCCTAAATCCACAGACCATCTGCTGCTTGGACCTAATTTGGAATATTTATTGAAGGAAGAAAATGAGATTCTGTTACCCTCTACATGTGTATTGACAGTGTATGGCAGGAAGAAAACCAACTAGCAGTGTTGTGTCAAGCCCCCTGGAACCTGGCTCTCTTGTGCTCGCCAGACGTCTTTCTGTGTCTGCCCTGGCCTAGGAAGCATGCCAAGCAAGTTCAAGTCCATGAATGCTTGGGAACACTGGTAGGCCCCTTCTTTGTGCAACCCTCTGCCAGTGCTAGGTGTGTGATCCCTACCACCACGCACAGAAACAGCAAGTGGCATGAGCAAGCAGAACTCCACTTGCCCAGTGGGTTTGTGGGCAGAATGTGTGCAAGCTGGCCTCACAAGTAATACCTGCTGCAGTGCATCTGTAATATGCAACTGAGGACTTGGTTCCTGACAGATACCTGTGCAAAGGCTCGGCAGGGAAGCACCAGCTTAGGCTTAGGGCAGAGAGGATGCAGGCCAGAGTCCTGGGAAAGGAGCTGAGGGAATCCAGTGGATTCCTACTCGCAAACAAGATTTCTCGCATGTCCCTGCTGACTGGAAGGGGTTTGTTTTGGTCATCTTGGGTTTTTATTTCTCTTTCTAGCTGGGAAAAATGTGAGCTGTTTTTGAATGTCAGCCCTTCAGGCTCATTATGAAGAAACTGGAATGGCTTTGCTACTTGGATTTCATACCCTAATTTTAATTTTTTGTTACATCTAGCAATAATGTAAACAGTTTTTTAAAAGAAAAATTAAAAAGGCGCTTAATTACTCTGAAAGGACAAGAGCCTATGCTTATCCCAGATGTGAAAACAAAAGAGAAGGAATCAACATTTATTTTAATTCCTGACCTTTCATTGGGCCTTAAAATAGAAATTTAGTGGAGAGGCTGAATCTTTGTGAAACAACAGTTGTATGAACTTGCGCTTTTCCCATCTTTGCCAATCACCACCATCCCTTTCCCAAAACAGGATATTGGTTCTCCCCACTCCCAATATTTGGAAGGTCATGTTGCTTAGACTGTTTAGTTTCAAGTGAAAAAAAAAAGAATGGGGGTGGTGATGAAAAAAATACTATGCAAAGTCAGTTTCATATCTACACCATTTTCATTAAATGCATAGCAATTGCTTTCAGGACATGGGTTGGTTCATCAGTTCCAGGTTTGGAATGAGGAGGCATCCAAGAATGGCTTAACCTCCCCAATCATGGGAAGCAGAAAGGGATGGCGTGTCAATGCAACTTGCATTAAATGGCTTACTATCCTCTACTTCCATTCAAGGGTCTTGCCTACCTTTCACCCAGCACAGAGCTTATTTTACTCTCTTCAGTTGCAAAGCTCTTCATTTTTTCCAGTTCAGGATTCCAATTCCAATTTGTAAAGATTCTTAGTCCCTGATCCTTAACTCCTTTTTTACTTTCTCTGTTCTCAGCCTACTTAAAAAAACAAACAAATGCCAGGCCTGTAAAACAGAAGACAACAGCCATTCAGCCTGGGTGGTTGAAAACAGCCAGTGCTTCCAGCACTACCATACTTCTGTTTGGCCCCACCACAGCAATGAGTGCCTTTGGGAGCCCACATACGCCATCTCCAGCCATCTTCTGCATATCTAAGGCTGCAAGTAAGAGTACAAGGCTCAGTTGAATCCTCCTGAAGAGCCTTTCCCACAATCAGCATCAAAGGGAGAGGTTTGGCAATAGGGCAGTGTGGTGGCAGAAGTGCAAGATTGTGCTGCCTCTTCAGTCATTCCCTTTGGCTACCAAAAACAGGATGCTCCCTCTGAACAACAGAAGGCATGAACCACTTCAGTCCCCTTCCCTCTGAAACGGCCAACGCCTGGGACTGGCAGTTCCCTCCCAGCTCTCAGTGGGCTGAATGACACAAAGAGCCATGCTTCTGTGACGTTGCTCCCTGCAGGCCCATTCAGTTGAACTGCCTGGCATTTCCATCAGAAATCCACTGTGCTGCAGATGGGTTTTCTCCTGCTGGAGAAAGCCTGCACACAGCAAAAGCTACTTTGCCTTCCCCATGCTTTCTTGCATTGTGGAGAAAATGTAGGGCGGACAGAGCCATCCTTTCCCCAAACCTCTTACTAAGGCCTGGACTTGGGGCTTAGGTCCTCTTGTCAGTGCTTTTTAAGTTGGTTGGATGCCTGTGAAGTTGCATCTGTCTCTCAGAAGATTCCCTTGAGGAACATCCCTCCTTAGACCTTTTGTGACATGTTTTCCTTTAGAATCTGCACATGGTTCCAAGATGCTTAAAAAGCCACCATTTAAGCTATTGAGGGCACTTGCACAGTTGTGGCTCTCATTAAAGCTGGCCTTCCTAGATCTGAGAACCAAGTGCCCTTTCTGTCAGTGATCATCCTGTTATTTTCCCGCAACTTCTCTTACCCTTTGAGAAGGTGTGGCTTATCTGTCCTTGCGTGGTAGGCCAGCAACCCCTCCCTCCCTCCACCTAATCAGCCACTAATAATGAAGTTGTCAGTTGCATTTCTAATTCTTGGGTGTATCCTCACGCCGAGAACAGACCACTGGGAGTTCCTTTGGGTTTGGTGTGCCTGAAGCATGCCAGATATTGGTGGCTGAATCACAAGAACACAGTATGCATTAGTTCAGGCTGCACTTTTAATTTCCTGTGTCCTTTTGGAAGTGTAGACTGCTTGTTTCACTTTTTACAATCCTTTTCTTTCACCCTTGATACATAGAAGACCCCAGAAATCTGTCCTAAACTAGGCCATGGAACAGAACTTGGTGGCGGCGCTAGAGGAAAATAAGCCTAATGTAAGATCTCTTGTCACGTGATTGCTGCCTTTCCTGGAGCAATGAGGAAGTAACTCATTATTTGATGCCTCTCTCACACCAGAAATACACTTCTAGTACAAAACCAGTATTTTGTTCTCCCTGTACAAAGGAAAGGAGCAAGGAAAAGCAAGTCTGCTACTCTTGTTGTACGAAAAGGCTGGTGTTTTAGGTTTGAGTGTAGTGCTATGTTTCTGCTGAATTAGCTTGTTATGCCACATTTTGTGTCAAACTAATTACAACTCTCATAATTTGGGCAAGCTATTGCTAGAAAGATTGTTCTTCAGTCTCTTTAGGATGGGCAGAAGAATGATACTTCACAGTGTAAATGTGTTAAGTCTCTCACACTAGGGTCTGTATCCAGTCTCTAGGGTTCAAAAAATTAAGGAGCTAATAAGAAATTTACACTTGGATCCAGCTAGTCCTGGTTGAACTGAGGCCATTGTGAAATGGTCTCCAGCAGAAAGGAAGGTTACCACAAAACATTGTTTATCAGTAGGATGATTCCAGAGCTGCTCAGGAATAAGAACTCTGAATATGGAATGCAACTTAATCTGTTGCATTGTTACCAAAATTTATGCTGGGAACCTTCCATAGCCGGGCAAAACGTGAATGGGCTCCTTGTTACTGGTTGTTCCATAGCCAGCGCCTGCAATGCACCAAATGCATTTAAATGGTACAGCACTGAGAGCTCTGGAAGAGTTTATAAAGCAGGGGTGCTACTATTGCGGCAGAAAACTGCTGGTTTAATTTCATTGTGTAGACCAAGGGAAGGCAACCCAGCTCCCTCCAGATATTTTAGACTACAGTTTCTGTTAACTCTAGCCTGCATGACTAATAGTTTATGGGAGTTGTAGTCCAAAACAGGTAAGGGACCAAGTTGCATATGCCTGACATAGACCTACTCTGGGGGTCATATTAGAAGAATCCTGTTGGCCATTCCTGCAAGGGTCTGCAAGCCTTTTAATAGGTAAGACACCTCATCTTAGCTACATGAGCATGTAGGAGGAGCGAGAAACCCTGTATTACACTCATAATTTGCTGGAAGGTAAGCCATTTGAAAGGGCATTCCTGCTGCAAAGCTTTTTCTTGCTCAACATGTTTTCCAATTTGTAGATCTACAAACTAAAATGTCACTGTAATGTTGATCTTTTGCTGTTAGAGGCAAGTCTTAAGATTTATACTGTATCTGGACTAAGTTTACAGAAGAAGTGCCTAAATGACTAGGCATGGTTTCTCTTTTCCAGTATGACCAATTTAGCAGGTTCTCAGCTCATATGATGAATCTTGTGTTGCATCAAGGCTTTGTGTTTAATTCATACAAAATTAAGCAATCTGGTATCTTTGTTCTTTTTTAAAGCCATACCATTTGCTAATTTAATATCCATCCAGCAGTTGTTTCTCCAGAACCTACGACTGACTGTGTGCCAGATAACTCTGTGTTGTAGCTCTGCAGTTCCTGGGAGGTGAGATAGTTTCACTGTTTAAGGGGTTTCATTTTTAAGAGCTGGAATGTAGTTTAGTGAAACAGTCAAATTCTAAGCCATATTCTTGTACTAGATAACAGAAGTGAACACGTGCACAATGAAGATTTCTGCCTTGCAAGGATACCTTGTAGACATGTCTTCAGCCTAAAGAAGCATGTCTATTATGTGCCAAGTGAGTAGCAGTAAGGATTGGGGCAAATGGACTTGAGATTAGAGATCATCAAGTCTCCCTAAACTATACTTGTATGTATGTATGTATGTGAGGGTTTGCGCATTGGAAACCCATTATATGAAGCTGTCTGCTTCCAGAGGAAATAAAATTCTACCAAATAAGTTGTTCAATAACACATACTTTTATTTCTCACTGGGTGAACACGACATAATTGCTAGATGCTGGTTTGTGTTTTTGTTCGGCTTTGTATGTTCAGTTTCCCACTTCTTTCCTGGGTTTGTGAAGCAATCTAATTCCATGATGAAGTTGGGTACTGTAATACCCTCACCTGGATGAGGCTGCAGTTACAATTTATCTAGGAAGTTGTCCAGAGGTGGAATACCCTCTTTCAAGCCTTTGCGTTTGCGTGTTTCAGCCACAACTTGGAAGGGACGTGAATTGGCATCATAAGGGTCCCCAGGCAAAACCTGCCAGTGATCAAAGACGCATTGTGGAAAAGCCTGGCCACCAGTATTGGATCTCAAGTCAGCTGTGAAGCCTGGAGGAAAGAGAAGAAACCATGAGCTGTAGGAACTATTGAAACAAGCCAAAGTTTTCACCCATATTTGCCAAGTTTACCTTAAGCAGCATTCCTGCACGTGACCTGACTCTTCATGCTTTGTGCTTGAGCTCTAACCTGTTTTGAAAACTATTCTTTTCCCCTTTGTGGTGCTGCTAGTCCAGCCTTGTAACTTCTTTCATTCCTCATCTTACTACAATAAGCACTGTATTTAGTTTCTGTTTCAATCCCTTATCTCTGTTCTTCGCTCTTTCTGTACCATTCTTCATCTTGTGGTATTCTACACTATTGGTACTTTCCCTGCCTAAGCTAGTAGAAAGCAGCTTTTCCCCAAGAGTCTTTGAATGCTATGCATGCCAAGTGTCATCATTTTAACGGCTCAATACAGTTTTCATTGACATGCATAATGTGACTCACCTGAGGGCAAATGTGTTTGGTTTATAAGCCCTTAAGGACTGCCCTCCCTTCTGCCTGAAATTCTGGAGTGATCTACAGTTGTGATGGGTTTATTGGGTCTCCTCCAAAATTGAAAGGTTTCAGATGCACTCACTTCCAGTAGAGAATGATGTGGAAAGAACTGGCCAAGGGTAGTCACACAGCTGGCATTCTGCTGCTAAACTGTGAATCAGTGCCCCTGTTCATTAACTGGCATGCTCATTTAAAGAGAGAAAAAAGCAGGCTGTGAACTATCCCGGTTCTACGGTAGCAGGGGTTAAAGGTAGGCGTCAACAACCAACAAGGTGGGTGCCTAGTTCCATGCAACTAGCCCTGTCAAACAATGGAGAACAAGCCAACTCTCCTATTCATAGTGGCCTTTCCCTGAACTAGTAAATCATCGCTGGACTGGCAGGGGCTAGTGACTGGTTTGGAACTAATAAGCGGAGCTGAAGAACTACCAGGAATCCCTATGGTTTGAATCCAGAGTTAGAGACATGCTTCTAGCATATGAAGTCCATAAAGGTCTCTTACCAAAGGACTCATTGACAGGCAGATAAGCTTTCACCACAAACATCGGGGTCCCAGCTACTTGAGATTCTTCAAATACATGGCCACGCTTCCGATTGAGCACACCGTAGATACCTCCAACTACTTGTTCTGGGCACTAGGAAGAAGAAAAGCAGCTCCTTACACTTCACTTTTAGGCCCTGCATCTCACAATATAAAAGCAAATATTCTGAATTCTGTGCTGCAAAATTATTTACATCGTAGAAACTTCATGGATAACATCTATCCATTAGGCATTCACTCTATTAAAGACTTCATTTTCTTTGATTGCTTCTCGTATTCCTCATCTTATTAGACTATCACTCTGAAGAATATAATTTTTTCCAAATGACTGAACAGCAAGGAACAGTTACTTAGTATTCTATCAGAGAGACACAAGAGGGTGGAAACATTTATCAAGGAGGTCAGACTTTGTAAAGATAAGCCTGGGGGCAGATATTTTGACACTAAATGTTTTAAAAGGGAGTGTAGGCCAGATAACCCTGTACAAAAAGTAACTGAATGTCAAATGTTAATGTCAAAATGTTTTCTATCTAGTTTCTCACATCAAACATGGACATGGTAAAAGTTAAGAATGAAATGTGACACATTAAGTTTTGTGCTGCAAAATTCTTGACAGAATTGTAAAGAAAATAAGATTTCCTACGTTGCTGGAAGACCAGATCACATAACCAAGAAGATGAACTTTGAAGGAGCACGGATGGAGAAATCTGCCACTTCCAAAGCCCTGTCAGCTTGAACCAGTCAAGTCAGGAACTTTGTGGCTGGGCAAATTTTTCCTGTCTGAAACCAGCGGGGAGGATGGGATTAGCTACACCAGCTCGAGTGGCAGAGTTAAAGGTTGGTGTTACTCATCCACCCCATCCTGATGGGAAATGGAAAGGAGGTGTCTGGAAATATTTTCAAGCCCTGTTGCTCTGTACCTGTTTAAGGGTTCAGAGGACATGTGAAAGACCGACAGTGAAGTTCAAGCATCATCACTGCAAATGCTTGTTAAAGGCCTAGGACAGGGGTCGGCAACCTTAACACTCAAAGAGCCATTTGGACCCGTTTCCCACAGAAAACACCGGGAGCCACAAAACCCCTTTGACATCTAAAATGAAGGTAACACTGCATATATCATTTGTTTACCTTTATGCTATGTATAAAAAAACTATAGTGTGCTGCATTTATGAAATCGATGAATGAGTCTTTTATATAATCTCCATCTGTGAACGGCTTCCCGTCCTGACTATTTCCTGAGCGGCCACAAAACTAGCAGATGCAGCTGAATTTGCAGACTTGATCCACTTCTTGAAATGATTTTTGCTCAGATCAACCTTCTGCATTAGTTCCGAAATGGCTTTTTTTCTCTCATCTCCATCCGGATATTTTTCAGCAAAGGCTGTTTTTCAGCAAACATTCAACTTTTTGTTGTTTGCCAATTTCTTACCACATATTAAGCATACTCGTAAACCAGTCTGGTCAGCAGCAAAAGCAAATGAATCTGCCCATGTACCATTAAACGTTCTGTTTTCTTCTGAAACTTTTCTTGGATTTATCCATGGTTGGCCTACCGGGGGTCTAAAAGCTCAATAAATTACGTGCCAGCAGGTGTTGCACATTGGCGGTTGTGATGCATATTTTGAGCAACGGGGAGCCGCAGCAGAGGGATGAAAGAGCCACATGTGGCTCCGGAGCCACGAGTTGCTGACCCCTGGCCTAGGATAAAGCAAGCTGTGCGATTTGGAGCTGAGGCCATTCCATGGAGCTGAAGACAACGCTTTGGTCCTAGCCCCACTGGAAGTATAGAAATATTTCAGTGGGTTCGATTCACTGTGGTGAGGAAATCCTAGGCGAACCTATGGCATGCATGCCACAGTGGGCACGCAGAGCCCGCTCTGTTGGCATGCGAGCCAAGTTGCCGCAGCATTGCCCCAACAGCTGAGTATCGGGTAACCGCGCACATAGGGGCCATGTGCATGCTCGGAAAGGAGTAGCAGCGCCAGGCAATGATGTCACGAGCCGCGACTCTAGCTGCCACTCATCCAAGCTTTCACATGGCCGGTCAGTGCGTTGCCAAGGATATATATATATATATATATATATATATATATATATTTTGCTTGGACTGGCTATGAGTTGTTTTTTCTAAACTAAAACCTCAGTATTCAGGTTTTATTGCAGTGTTGGCACTTTGCAATAAATAAGTGGGTTTTGGGTTGTAGTTTGGGCACTCAGTCTCTAAAAGGTTCACCATCACTGTCATAGGACAAGGAATGACAATCTTGCCCCTAAATGCCAGGAAGAGTCATCAGCTACCCACTCGTGAAGCCAACGACATACCTGAATCTCCACAAGATAGATGGGTTCCATCAGTCGGGGCTGGGCTGTCAGGGTAGAGGCATACAAGACCCTCCTTGCGGTTGGGATGATTTGGCCCCCACCACGATGGATAGCGTCAGCATGAAGAGTAACATCATGTATGTCAAAGCGAACACCCCGCATATTTTCTTCACAAAGAACGCCCTGCAAGGAGAACACTCAAAGTGAAAATGGAAAGATTGGTTCTGGTATGATGATGCTTGGAAACTATTGGAATTTACCTGGCAGGAAGTTTGCCAACAGTGCTGGTTAACTTATTGTGTAGAAATAAAGCTTAGTGCAATTACAGGAGGGGGGTGGATCTTCCTGCCATTGCACAGGCTGTTAATGATCCAAAATTCAAACATCTACTGACATGGCAATCACAGAGAAGCTGCAGATGAAGCTGCACAGGGCAAGTCAGTTCATATCTACATTTAAACATTATTAGTGGGGAATTGTGTAACTTATGAAACTGGCTTCTAGTCATTCAGTCTACTGGGTCCATCGAATTCAGTACTGGCTAATTAGCAGAACTATCTCAAACTTGTGACTCCAGTTCCTTTTTTGAAAAATGAGTGAGGGGAGACTGAACTCAAGATCTGCATTATTCACAGAATACTTTCCAAGATACCACCTTAAATGTCAATTTTGTGACAGACCCACCTCTTTGGTTGCCCACTGGAATCCAGCCACCACGCTGTCTTTGATTTCATTGAGATACTGGACACCCTTGGTAATGTCAACCAAAATATTGGGACCTGTCCCATCAGGACCGAAGCACCATATCTTCCTTGCTTCAGATACGTCCCACTCATACTTCTCAGCCAGATACCGGGCACGCTGCTTCAACTCTTGACGGGCGCTGACATCTCCTTTGTCTATATCTTCGGCCAAACCATCAGGGAAGGGGCGGGCTTTCATGTACAGCCGGTTGTGTTTGTTGGGGGATTTGGACAAGCACATCTGGCTAGACTCTTCACAGACTGTCTCCCGATAAGATACTACTGGGTCTGATTTCTGCAAATACAATTAAGTAAATCCAGTTCAGGTTCCATAACTGACATACATTATATCCCAAAATCAACCTAATTTTTGTCCTTATTTAACAACCCACATTTCAATTTTCAGTGCCTTGCACATACTCAGAAATCAAAGCCCTTCCCCAAAAGACAGGACCTCCTGGTGCAGCTGTAGCCTTTGGGGACAGGAGGCACCTTGCTCACTAGCTCATGTACGGCAGCCTGGCAGGTC